AAATGGTAGCTTTGAGAGTAATAACCTGAGATGCTAGCTTGCTGAAAACAGTATCAGAGAAAATGAATTCTCCTAATTCCAAACTTGATCTTGATCTATTCTAGGTGACACTATGAGGAATACTGAATACTTCACTGGTTCCAAGCCAGATCTCATCCCTGTCTTAACTGTGGTCTTCGGAACACTCAGAAGTTGAAAACTACATCCGCCTACCATTATCATATTAAGTCAATTAGGTTTTCTTATCATATCGGCTTTGTTTGAAAAATTGTTATGAGCCTCCTTCCTGTCTGCCACACATTTGATCTCAGGTTTCTGGTTTCACTGACTTCTGTTTCTATTTGAGAATCAAAGCTGTTCCCAGTTCTCTCCCTATTGATTTCTTATGATACCTGAATTATTTTATTTTTCTCAAGGAAAAAATGAAAATAAAAGAATAGAAAATCATAGTAGTTATCAAGCACTACATCTCTATGTATTCCAGGTGCTTAAATATGTTAATCACACTTAGGTTCTGATTGAAAAACATCTGAAATTTTTCAAGATTTTATTTTAATAATATTTTTAAATTCCTGCATTACTTTTACAAGAGTCTATTTTTTATATTATCATCCATGTTCAATGATTACAAAAGTAAGATAATCTTCCTGCAGCTGCTTTTGACAAGGCTCAGTTTTAAAGAACCAAGTCAGCTATTAAATCACATTTGCACAATACAGGGAACCAGGCCACTCCAGGAAGCATATGAGCATCTGCTGAGTATGAGTCTACAAGCAGCCAAACTGCCTGGAATCATTTCTTGGAAACTTTATTTCATTAATTACTATGGTGAAAAATTGACTGAACTATTATTCCCAACATCATAAATTATAAAATCTAAGTCAACAATCTCCCAGAGGTCATCAACCTCAACTTCTATCTTCACTGTAAGCATCTCCTCAAAACGCCTAGCTGTCCCAAGGGCGGGCAGTCACCCTGAGTGGCCAGCGCCTCTCATGGCACTACCCTCTCTGATACAGCTCCAGTTACCAGAAAGTTATTCTGGCCCCATTTGAGCCCAATTTTTTCTGCCTGTCATTTTCAATCTTTCAGTCCATAAAAGGCAAGGACAGACACATTCTAATCTGGTTGCCTTCTAGAAAAACTCCAATTTCTCAATATTTTTGTTACATGTAGACACTGGAGCAGAATACAATATTCTTTTACTCTCTGTGTAAGTGTTTTACAAGTTAATAATATGGTTATTAAAATAATATATAATAATTGCAGCAATGTAGGTCAAGACAGAAAAACAAAAAAAATACTAAGTTATTTATAGTTTCAATACCAAGAAATAGCAGCAGTAATAAGATGGAGGTGACATTTTCCCAGGTTTTTACAAGGATTTTTTGTTTTATTTTGTTTGAATTTGATATGAGTTTTACTGCATTTCATTCAAGTGATGTCTTATTTTGAATTGCTTAAAATCTGGTTGAGAGTTTCATTTTTTAAAGCTTCTCACCCATCTCAAGTTATTTTCTTTCTTTTGTATGCCTCTTTCTTCCAGAGTCAGCAGATCATAGGTTCATACCTTCATCCCCAGGTCCTTTGAAGTTGTTTCCAGGGTAAATGCCTGGGCTGCCAAGGTCTGTGATCTGCCCTTCTACTCAGAGATACCCACTTTGTGAATCCCTAGACTCCTGGAACAAAACCTACAGCTCAGCAAATCACACACAGAGCTACTCATATGTAAGCAGAAGGTCTGTGCAGCTGAGACTCATGTGGTTCCCCAATCTGGTCTTTTTTTTTTGCCTCTGTAAATAATTTCATCATATTCCTCAAGAAAACATATTTGGGGCCCTCCCTGGTGGCGTAGCACAGCACTGAGAAGCTAAAGCCACTTCCGCATGAGTTCGATTCCCGCCTGCCCCGGAGGTGACCACATGGCGTGGCAGACCTCTCCTGACCCGCCCGCTGCTCCCCTCAGCAGTGTACTTTGTCTATCTGCCATTTCTGCTGCCCACTCTGTCTCTGGTGAAACCTCTTGCTGCCCCTGAGCCTCTGGCCTGTACCCCAGTTCTGTATGCACAAATAAATAAATCTTTAAAAACCAAAAAGAAAACACATTTGATCTTCTAGAGACTGGTTGATTGGCCATAGTTTCCATCACCTCACCCCATCTTTTTTATTTTCCACCTGAGTGTCTTTTGCTATATGGAGCTCTGCTCATGACTCCCTGTGTAGCCGCATCTCAGGTGGTATAAGGCAATCTGCTGCATCATGATAACCCACCCCAGGCCCTGTCTCTGAATTACCAGGGCTGCCACTGTCTGCTACATAAGATATTGTTTCTATTCAGTTGTAAGAGAAGGCAAAATTCAACTATTTATACAAATCTAATGAAAACACTAACCAATGTAGAATTTCCACCTTAGCCCCAGCGGAACAAAGCGTACCTTCTGCATTGAGGTGCATGGTTTCCAGGGGTCCGATGAATGCGTACCGCATGCCCAGGCCATCTGACATGACAAGGTCGAGGTCGTTTGGAGACACTATTCCTTCCTAAGTGCAGAAAATGGGCAGCATGTGAGTATTCTGGCAACATAATTTCATTAGCATCATTTCACCCTAACATCTTGGAAACAGGGTTCTAAAATACTCTCCAAAGCAGTATAATAGGATTGTCACTCAACTTTGCTTAAGTATATATAAATAAATCCTGAAGAGAATATCCTATGAAATGGTCAAACACCAATTCACTTTTTCTCTAGCTGGCATCATCCTAGGATTGAAGCAAATTCCTTTCCTTACCGCGCCACCACTACCCTTCTCCATCCCGTAACCTAAGTACCATTGAAGCTTTTGAGAAGAGGGTAAGAACAAAGGAATGGGGAAAAGGTTTGAATGGTGTATTGGAGGAAAAGAGCAAGTAGGATTTTCATGTTTGCTAATATCAAAGGGAGAAACTAGAGCCATCAAAAGAACTGGAAGGCTATTCTCTGGATTTTGCCCATTGGCAAGCCTGGCCTTGTTCAGATTTTAATGTGTTTATTAAAAAATATACACTGAGATGAAATGCAGCTTAGCATTGTGCTTATTTGCAAATGTGAGGCCCTAGAATCTCCTGCAAATGTGAACTGTTAAAAAGAAAAGGCAAGTTGTTAGGCATTTAGCTTAGAGGTTGAATTGGCCACTGGCCAGTTTGTGTGCGGCCTCTAACCACATTGCTTTAGGTACGCACTGGGGTGCGCTTTAAAGATGGACATGACCTGGGCTGCACTGCTCATGGGCACTTTCTGAGAATAGTTACCATGTCCTGCTCAGAAGGAAAGTGGCAGAAGCAGTATATTTTCCCTTAAATCTTCACTGGTAAAGCTAGCAGAATTACTGTGAAATTTCCAGTTCCTTCTCAGGGTACTTCCAGCATAAACAGAAAATTGTGAGGACAGAAGTGAAATTCACCTCCATTAACAGGCCACTAAGTGTAGCTGTGTGGCTAGTGCCTCTTTCACTGGTTTCTTGTGGGGCCCTGACCCCTCTGGGCGCTGGTTGATTGGAATCCTGGGTCTCCAAAGCCCTTAGCTGCAGCAGTCTTAGCTCTGCACCACCATTAGGGCACATTTACTCAGCTGCTAGGAACAGGCTGACAAGTGGCCCACCCCACACTGCTTCTTTACTTGGGGCTACAGGGCAAATCCTGTTTTACCTTGAAAGGGAAGTCTATAGTCCTAATTAAGAGGTTATGGGGGGTGGGGGTGGGTGAGAAGGATTTCTACTTCACCCTTTAGCTGACTGGGAAATGAGAAATGCCCCTCTGGCTTCCAGGCAACTCTGAGAGGACTGGTCCAGGCCTTCCCTTAGGTATTGGGCATTAGAGCTCCTCCTGGTGGTTCTCCTGTTCTCTGGGCCCAGGTGACTTCTCTGCTTCCCAGACTTCAGTCACTCAAGAGGTTGCAAGAGAAAGAGGATGTGTACCCATTACCATCACCAGCTGCTCAAGGGTAAACACCTGGCATCTCAGGTGTGTGTGGGTGTTTAGACCACCTGTGGTGCAGGGAGGCGGGAGCTTGGGAAAGGATGTCATCTAAGAACTAAGAAGGAAACAGATCCACCTACAAAGGGTAAGAATGATTTAGCTGTGGCTGGGAAATTCCATTTGAGAGAAACATTTCCCATCTAGTGAGAGATGAACATACAAAATAGCGCACAAAGAATATATTTACAGCTTAGACAATAACTACAAATCAACCCCAGAACTACCTCCTTGGCTGCCTTCCCAATTGTATATACTTTTCTTCCCAGAGGAAATAACCTGTCTTTCCTAGTAACCTTTATTTTTAAGATTAATATATGTTGACATTCCTAAACAATAGTTTGCTTTTAGCCGATTTGTCACCTTTTTGTCTTTAGGTAAACATACCTGGTTCAGCTGACTAGTTACCGACCACCTGCCAATTAATCCCTCTACCTGCTTTTTCCACCCCAACCCTTTCGTTTCTGATAACAACCATTTTGTTCTCCAAATCTAAGGTATTGTTTTTGTTTGTTCATTTGCTTTGTTTCATATGAGTGAAATCATATGGTATTTGTCTTTCTCTTACTGACTCCACTTAGCAAAATCCCTCAAGATCCATCCATGTTGTTGCAAAGATTAGGATTTTGTCTTTTTAATAGATGAGTACTATTCCATTATATATATACATACATATGCCTATACATACAAACAGACAATAATATATGCCTATATGCCACATCTTCTGAATCCACTCATCTGTTGATAAGTACACTTAGGTTGTCTCCACATCTTGTCTACTGCAATAGACATCTTCGAAATTGAAACAACTGTATTCTTGTGTGATTTGCTTCCTTCATTTAAACTTATGCTTTTAAAATTCACCTACATCATGTGTCACAGTAATTTGTCTACATAAATTGTCTATTGCAATTTACTTATCCATCCCACTGTTCATGAACATCTGGGCTATCTGTATTGTGTAGTTATTGTAAGTGAGAGCACTCCTGTCTATGACTCCTGGTACACACGTATGGGAGCAGAACTACTGTCCTAGAGCCGGCATATCTTCAGCTTCATTAGATAATGCTAAGCTACTTTCCAAAGTAGTGCCTGTGTTCACTGCCTCAAGGAGAGCATGTGAGTTCCCACTCTTCCAGATTCTCTCCAACACTTGGTGGTATAAGGCTTGCAAAGTTTTGCTCACCTGCTAGGTTTTAGTGGTATCTCACTAAAGTTTCCTATTGGTTCTAATCATTCTATAATGAGTTCAACTCACTGCAAATGAAAGCAAACAAATTTAAATCACTCAATTACTGACAAGTGTCAGCTCCTTTCACTTCTGACAGCATAGCTATAAGTGGGAAGGGAGCAACAACAGGAAGGAAGTGAATACAGAGTCCCACAGCAATGCACAGTGTACCCCCACCTTCACCACCCTCTCCAGCAAGCTCCCAGTGCAAGAAGGTGGGCTGTTATTATCCAAATGCCTTTGCTGTGGGTGCCATGATGCTCTCAAAGGTGACCAGGTACGTGACCTGCAGACTGTCTTTCATCTTTAATATGCAGGTCAAAAATTCAAACAGCTTGACATTTTTATGATAGCATTCAAACTGTGAAGTATATAAATATGAAGCCATGCTATAAACACAATGTTATTTGCTTTGCTGCCTGTCTTCTGAAATTGACGTTAGTGCTTTTAGAGCTGACTTCAACCAGATTTCAAAGTATCCAAAATGGGAGTCATCCAAGGGAAGTTAACTTCTGATTTGTAAGTTTTTTGCAGGCTAACAGTTAAATAAAACCTTTGGTGGACTCTCTACACGACATCATCAGGTTGTGGAGGAACCACACTTTCTTCTAACTCACAAATGTTCTCTCCTCTTTCCTATTTCATCTATAGAAGGGCTGTCTATTTTTCCAGTTATTCACTAGTTAGAAAAAAAGGAAAAGTATAATATCTTTTCTTCCTAAATCCTTTCTGCTACATTTAGATTTTTGAAGGATTCTCAAAGTCCAAGTCTTTACCAAGAAGCTAAATCTAGAAAAAAGAACAGTTCTAAGTAACTCAGTTGAAAAGCTCACTACTCAGGATTTCACATCACTGAAACAAACATTACCACCGACCCTCAGCACTCAGCACTCAACCAAAGGTTCATGTTTAGGATATTGTGAAGTTCAAGTTACTTAGTTTTGCTGCTGGCTTCATTTCCCCAGTGTCTAGGTGACACCTATGACCCAGGTGGTAATATTGTCGATGATAATTAGAATGAATAATTTTGGTGATATAAAAGGCAGAAACAAATGCTTAGTTGAACATACTAATCTGATCAATGATTCCTTAGAAATAGAGGGTATACTGCACACTTGCCTAACAACTGAAACTCTATGCCACTCCAGTGTTCCTGTGGTTCAATTAACATTTGTCAGTATACAATCAGTACTTTTCTACTTCATGGTCAAATTCTCAAGTTACACAAAAAAATTCACACAGAAAAATGTATACAAAGATCACTGTTAGTTCAAAACCTGGTTTGTAACACATCCAAAAAAATCAGCAAGTGAGGAAAGCCAAGTCAGAATCTCTTTATTGAGAAATTTTCTGCCTTTACTTCCTTTAATTAAAACCTGAGATTTACAACAATCAACCAACCTACACTCATGATTTGTCCACATACCTCGTACCTAGCTGATATACTAGGAGTTAATTCCAGTTGATGGGGGAGGAGGGCAAGACTGCTGCCCATGAGTAAGAATCAAGAATCAAGAATGGTAATAATGCACTCAATTACTGTGATTCAAACTTAAATAGTATTAAGGGTTTGATCATCTATCAGGATTCTACCAGAGATATAACCAATGGAATACTTATATATTTTGGAGATAAATAGAACATAGAGAGAGATGCATAGAATACATACGTGTGTGTGTGTGTGTGTGTGTATTAGCCTGTGTTTGACCAAAAGTGATGGACTCTAATCCATTGAAGAGCACCTTTACAGGGGACAGAGGATAAGGTCCAAGGATGGTCCTCACTCTCAAGTCTCATGGATCTTGTACTTGGTGGAGCAGGAAGAGAAAACACATGTATAGTTAGCAATTATCAAAGGGATAATGGATACAGTGGCCCTTGGTCTGGCCCTGCCAACAGATAGAGAAAGGACAGAAGAAATGGTGGGGGCCGGTCTGGCAAAGCTTAGAGATGCAATATTTGATACGTGAATCCCTTGTGACTCTTTTCTCTATTGTTGCCAGTTATACAGACTTACTTTTCCTTCTCGTTAACCATCTACCCTCATACCTAATTTTCTTATTCAATTCACATATTTTTGTATGTCTTCATTTTCAGCTGTCTTTCTCATGTTTCATCATGCCATTTTTCCCTTCTCTAGATATCATTTCCTAATTCCCATTTGTGGTTTTCTTCTACTTTTCACCAAATTTGGTCCTAAGCTTTCAAGTTTTTCTTATTCAAATAAATACTCCTTTAACTTTGAGCCTCATCCAGGAAAAGATGTGCTACCCAGGAATCTGGATTCCATCATATGGA